CACACACACACACACACACACACACACACTCCTTCACCCTCCACCCTCGGGAAACAATGATTTCAATGCTGTCATTTTAATTAAAGACGCCATCATTATATCCACTTGTCATCATTCATTCATAATAACCAATACCTTAGTCAACCACAAGTATTTTTTACGTCTTGTGTTTTGATGCCCCTATCGACCCATTTTAGACCATTTCAAAAGTGGGTTGCATCGACCCTGCCTGTCAGGGCCAATCTGAGCTGAGAGGGATAAAATGTCCCAGCAGAAAGACCAAAGTATATGTTTTGTACTCGATTAAAAACTCTCCCTACGCGAGAATCAAGCTCGGGTCTTCTGCGTGCGAGGGTGAAATGTCTTACAGCTACATGTCTATTATGTACATCAAATACATTGGTCATCACTGAAATTAGCTCATCACACACCGAGCGAGCGGCGGCGACAAGTAGGCCTAGTATTCTGTGCCATCACGAGAACTGTTAATTTCTTGCGAAAAAAAAAGTACCATGGCACACTTGTACGACATTGTTATTATTATTATTATTATTATTATTAATATTTTTATTATTGCATTCAAGGTAGGTGTTGTTACGACCCAAACGACACAATTTAGATAATTTAAGACACATGCTTCTAATCCCGCCTGTCAGGGTCAACCTGGGCCGTGAGGGATACAACGTCTTAGCAGAACGACCGAGATGCTCGATAAAAAATTTTCACACCACTGGGGAATTGAACTGGGATCTCCTGCGTGCAACAGAGAAATGCTCTACCAAGTCACTACACGGCACGTGGGTGCACAACGTTATAAAAATGCACAATTACATACATTATGCCTGCAGGGTCCTTCTAAATTTATATAATCCATTCTTTTCGCTACAGAGATGGCGTAATTGGACCGCGAAACAAAGCTTCTGCTTGCTTTTGTCTTTGTAGGATTATTAAAAATGTTCTTATGCTCTCTCAGGGGCGGCTCGTGAGGCTAAAAAGTGGACGAGCACAAATTAAGCTATCGCATGCTGAGGATAGTCAATCAAGGGCATAGTAAATGAGATGGTGTATAATTTTAGAATTTTTGGGTTGGTGAGGGAGGACCTCGTGCTTTTACATGTATTTTCATTCGTTTTACTTGTCGCTTTGATTTCTAGTACTAAATTTGTTTGTTAGCTAAACATCAATTTCGTTCATCCTGTATTGGAACTGAACACTCAAGTAATAACTTTCACTACTCCACTACAAAACCATTCAAAGGCACAACTCATAGGACGGTCACGTTTACCTCCCTCAGGTTCACATTCACAGAGTCACTTAAAATAGTGACAAAACAGACAATGAACCAATCACAATTCACTTGAGCACTCCGCTGGATTGCTCCGGGGTTCGCATAATATTGGCAAAGAATAGCGTACGGTCTATCGTGTTTATTTTTAGACTGCCTTCTGTGGGCTATGTTTCGCCACTGTTCGGCAGGAGCACATTTGAGATGTGCTGTCTTATTAATATTAATGTACCGCCAAACTCGCTACGAGTGTCGTCATCGCTTGGGTTATCCCCAAGAGCGATTTATAGGTCAGGTTACACTGTTGAACATCCTATTATGTTTAGCTAAAGCGCGTGGAATTTGGCATGGCTTAGTAAATGTTTTACGGCGCTATAGACACAGAAATGACAGTTATGGCGCCAGTGAGGACCTTGTTTTGATATAATATTTGGCTAGTGTTTGTTTCTGTCCTCTTTTATTTTATTATTTTGGGTGTTTTACGTAATAGAACATTAAAAAAAATTGGGCGGCACTGCACGACCGTGCTCTATGGACGAACCACGCCTGATATATATTATTATGTATATATTTTATACATATATATACTAGTCAGGGCCAGCTCGGTCTGAGTAGGATACTATGTCCCAGAAAAGATTAAAAAAAAAAAACTGAGATGCTTGGCCAAAATTCTTTCCACACACGAATCGAATTCAGGTCCTCTGCGTGCGTCCACAAAGCACTTAAACATAACCCCTTAAACACTGCCATCAGTTCTTAATCTAATAAATAGACCTGACTTTCTTCGAGCAAACATTAAAATTTAAGGTGTGTCCTTGCCAACATTTTATAACTGAAGAAGAAGAATAAATACTCCAGGAAGTTGAAATATTCGTTCATATTAGTATCACATTCGTCTATCATGTGGGTGGCCCTGGTTCAAATCCCCAAATGTACATATTCATGAACTTGGATTGAGGAGTCGATGGTTCTACTCGTTAACTACTGTTGTCCTATCGGAGATGGAAGTAAAACCAACCAGGAATCCTGTCTTTCAAATAATTAGTGTATTATGTTGGAATATGTGTGAAATACACTTCAACGGTTCAGTTCAAGAAACCAGTGAGCTACTTTTTTTTTCTAAAATCGAATCTTTTTCTTTCCTGTGGCCGCAGATCTTTCTTTGTTACATAATATCTTTTCGATAGCAGGATCGGACGGTAAAAACATTGTATATATATATA